TGCCAGTCCATTTTTTTGGCTTAAATTTCCTAGTCTAATCACAAACTGGATCTAATTCATCGAAACTCGCATTTTGAATTAATAAAAATATGACACATTTTATGAAGTTTTATTTGGATATCATTTGAACTGCAAAATCGGAAATATTTATGTCCCGTAAAAACACATACTGTTTTTCCATTATTTCTTCTTTTCCAAACATTTCAATCGACCGACATTCCTTCATTTTTCGGGATTGACTTGAAATTTGGTAGGGTACAGTACGCTCAGACACTCGTTTCATCTTGTTGATTTAGACTTCTTTTAAGGATTTTATGGGGTCAAAAGTCAAACAAACCAAATTGTATATTTTGGGCTCCTGTGCAGTAATATTAAACAATCAAGATGAAAATTGGCACAAATATAAATTTTCATGCGCCTAACACAATGACATACAAAATAGTTGGACTTGCCCATTTAGAGTCTATATAGGGGGTCAGATTTCACAAAATAGCATAATTTTTGGGATTTGGTCAATTACTCAATCATATTTGAACCAATTTACATGGGATTCGGTAAAAATATGTATTTCTACAGGTCCAAAACACTGATAAACAAAAATGGTGGACTTGCCCATTTTGAATATTTATAGGGGGTCAAGATCCCACAAAAAGCATAATTTTAGGGTTTTGGAGAATTCCTCCTCCGTATTTCAGCAGATTTACATGGGATTTGTTACAAAGATACTTTTTACAGATCACATACATATACATACCAAACTGTGGTATATGCCCATTTTTGATCATTTCAGGGAGTAGCCAATAGGTTAAATAAACCCATAATTTTAAGGGGTTTTGGTCAATCATTTAGCCGTATTTCGACCAACATACGTAGTTTTTAAAACTATATTTGGATAGAAGAATTGTAGCCGGAAGAATGCAAAATAGTCTATTTTTAGACCTATATGTAACATCATAAGATCTTTAATTGTACGATATTGTATAAGCAAGAATGCCGTACTTCCTAAGCATTATTATACTACAAGTACGAACCTAGTGAGGGTGAGAAGACTTAATGAAACGACCTTGCTTGTTGTAATAAAAAAGAGATTTTAACACACGCAACTTACAATAAAGTGAGGCCACATGTCTATTTATACTCAATATTCTGGGTAGCGGTGCATGTAATTACCATTAAATTTATAATACTCTACCCCGTACCTAGGTATTGAATATATGGATTTTTGCTTCAATAAATTATAAACTTGAATGTTGCTCTCTAAATCCCTCATTGTGGGCGAAACGGAACTATTCAGAGGAGAGGGTGTTTTACTTCTTTAATAAAAGTAATTAACATGCATATAAGAGTAGTCTTTGCCACACACTCACATGTATATATATTTAAACTAGATGACAGCTACATGACTTTTACACCATCTATTTTCCAATGGTCAGTATAGTCTTAATGAGGTTATGTAGGTTTATATACGGAGATGGGGAGATGAGCTAAGATTTAAGTCTAACGCTATAAAAGTAGCACTCTAAAACCTAAAATATTATATCACATAGAATCAAAAGCTCTTGCTTATTTGTTTGTCATATATAACTACGCATTCTTATACGGTTATGTTTCGTTGGTTTCTCATTGTTTAGTACATGTTCTTGTATACAACGGCTTGAACCACACCAAGAATGGTTTACTTATATAGAAATTGAGTAGAACATTCAAAACAAGATAATATATTACGGCACATTTAATTAAACCTAGAAAACTCTCTATTGCTTTCCTAAGAAAACAAAAGTTAGTCATCTATACGTGCTAACCTGAACCAGTAAATTAGATAAGTTTCTTGTTTCTGTGTTTTACTCTTTGTATGCCTGTGTTAAAGCGCTGAAATTCTAGGGCTGATTTGTTTGCTATAATAACGTCTGTCAGGAACCCCGCTCAGGCACAAAGGACGAGTTGGTCTGCCTAACGCTCTTTTCTCTTTATTGAGCTTATCTATGGTATGAGAGATTTGCACGTGCGTGTGGCACGAGAAAGTTTTTAGTGGCTATTAAAGTGCATGATCGATGGTTGAGTGCCCAGTAAGCAATGTTCTGTATATATATATATATATTACCTGCTCTATTGAAGTCTCAAAAATAAGCGGCTCACGTAATATATACATCTGTATCTGACCGGATATTCTTTTTTTTGAACACTTTCAGCCACGACAAAGCCACAGTTAATTCTCTCTATATCAAAATTAAAATCCAATTTCATCATTATATGAAATTAAAATATATAGTCTAGGTATTAGTTTTCTTGTTGCCTTATCGGTCGTCTTAATCAAGTGATCCTGAGGAAGAATTTAAAGGTCAACTAACTTGTAATGACTCTGAAGTCATCGGCTTACCTTAATTCTAAAGGTCCCAGATAAAATAAGTGACCTGACTGTTCACTATATTTACACACACGTATATGTACCAGGCGGAACAAAATATCTCATAAATTAGACTGATCATGTTGTACATGTACTTTTTAGAAAGAAAATTCAACTTTGTAGTGAAGCAAAGTGGGCGGTAGAGCGTTCAGTCGTGTTCGTATGTGTATATACAAAACTGTTGAACGATGATAAGGAGTGGGAAGATACCTTGATAACTTCTAGATCAACCTTGACTTTTAAAATCATTGAAAAATTAGATACTTATGTTCTTTTTCCTCATATTTCCACAAATAATATTTGTAAGTTCAAAAGTCAAGGTTGTTTGAAGATCAAATGGCTGTAGTAAAGTGCGCAATGTCAAGCAGCTCCTGGACGTTACTAAATTCAGAGTTGTCCTGATTAATAAGGTATTCTTTTCCCATTAATATACTTATTTACGTGACTAGTTGTAGATATATGAAGAACAAGCCAATAAAAACTACAAATAAAATGGTTTGGTTTGTTTCGAATTTAGCACAAAGCTGTGCGAGGGCTATCTGCGCTAGCAGTCCCTAATTTAGCAGTGAAAGACTAAATAGAAGAAAGCTAGTCATCACCACCCATCGCCAACTCTTGAGCTACTCTTGTATCAACGAATAGTGGAATTGACCGTAATATTATAACGCCCCACGACTGAAAGGGCGAGCATGTTTAAGAGGGACGGAGATTTGAACCCGCGACCCTCAGATCAAATAAAGTGGGACTTCACGTGTCTAGATAATGTTTAATAAAGATATTGTGCTTATTGTAAAACTTTCTGTTTGTCTGTTGATCTTCCTGTTATGTTTATTTGTCTGTCTGTTTACTATATCCATCTATTTCTCTATCTGTCTATTTGTTTATTTATTCACTTACATATCTGCCTATCTTCTGTTCACTTATTATCTACATGTTCACTAATTATCTACATGTTTGTCTGTATAATCTGTGTATGTACCTGTTATTATCTATACCTCTCTCTATTTATATCAATTTTATATGACTGTTCATCTTGAGTTCTGAACTTGAAAAGATGATGTAAAAGTCTAATCCATCCTTTGAAACACGAAAAAACACACAGTGGATAGAAACTGAAAGGTTAACAAAGTAAAGTTATACAGTGTAGCTGATTTTCTTTTATATATTTTCATAGTTTACAGATAAAAAGACACACAGATAGATAAATAATATGTTTGTGTATGAATATAAATATTTAAATTCGCAGTTTTATATTTTGTTAGACTAAACAACATATATAAGCATTACTTATCTCTTACGGAAGTATTTCTATTTCCCAGTCGGTTTCTCTTCCCAGCGAGCTGTGCAGTGAAGCCTTTGATTGGGGTTTTAATCCGCACACGTGCCTGACTCAAGTCTACAGTATTCAACTCTCTCACGTACACTGCTACTAAAGCTTCCATTTCAAATCCACGGACAATTAGCCCTGATTTATTATATATATAGCCAACTTTGCATAAAGATCAGTTAAGGAGCGCACAGCATTACAGTTGTATGTACCACATTATTTAGTGGATGCTACTGTAATGTTAGTCTACATATATAGTGTACAAGAGTTATTTTCATTGCAAAGAATACAAGAAAACCACTAATGATTACATAGCAAAACTACGCACGTTATGCACTATCGTGTTGTTTTGGATATTTTATCGATTGATTTTATCGTACGTTTTTTCTTTTCAATATAACATTCATATTAAACCAAATGTCATTGCTTAAAATTAGACTGTCAACTAGAGTATTGTTTTTTTTTAGCGAATTAGTTCTGTTAACTATCTACTTAGTGTCATCAGTTGTTGTTAACAGAGGATGCTCGTATGTGATTGGACACCAGAAACCACTTACATCTAAACGTTTAAGATTAAGACACAAATTTCGCTAGATAGTGAATTTTGATTATTTACAAGTAACTTTCTAATTTCAGAATGACAGGGCAAGAGTTAAGGTTATTCCCTTTTACTCTAATACTAATGGTATGAGTTTTCTTACCATTGAATACTGTCTGTAAAATTAATTTAAAGTGTTTTATTATGCCAATTAGTTTGTTGTACTTATTGAACATATGTTCAGTGGAGATGTTTTGTTGTGTTAATTGATCCTATTATGTTAATTGGGTGTATTGTGAAAGTTAAATTCGCTGAAGAATTAATAACTTAATTTTCAAGGTTACAAGTTATAGTAAAGGTAATTAATTTACTACAATAGTTGGCTATTAGCCTGGTTTTTGTGGGTTTTTTTTTCTCGATTTGTTTGTGTCCAGGATTACTGATTAAGAATGGAATTTTCCGAAAACCGACTAAAAAAATTAACCCGATAACAAGAACAGACTGGATCTCAAGTTTCTTTCTCGCTGAAAATCGCAGTTTTGATAATGAGAAAAGAAAACATAATATTATAGTTTCGTTAGTTAGTTGTTACATTCTATACTCCACTATACAAAACTATCTAGAGTTAACCAAATCTTGTAAAACTGGTTTAAATTTTCGAAACTAAGACAGAATTTATTTTGAAGAAATTTCATCCAGTCATTTATAAATAATATTTATGTATATTTCAGGTTCAGTGCTGCTTCGAGAGAGATTTATGTTTTTGTCAGCGGTCACATCATTGTGGATATGCACTTGTCTGCAGAACAACAGAAATTATAAATGCTTTTATTAAGTATTGTACTACTTTTTGTACTGAAGCACTAAAGTGAGTGATGTACTTATCATGATCTGCTACACTTATGGATTAGCAAACGTTTCGACACTTCTCTAAGTTAATCGTGTGGAAACCAGCACTGAATTGTACTCTATGCGTGGATGCATTTGTCAGTTTATCTTCAACTTTCAAGTGTTACATAAAATATAAACTCCATATTTTGTGCTATCATCTATAAAAAACACAATAAAATTATCCCAATAGTCACAGAAAGTGTTAACTTAGCAGTAGTTTGTTTTAATCGAAGCTTTTCAGAAAATACTGTGATCTAAGAAATAATAAGTTGCATGACGTAATAATGAGAATGTTTTGGTGCAGTGTAATTGTATTCGTCAACTATTGATAGCACTAATAAAGGTAACTTTTAATCAAAGGTTGGTTATTCTTATTATAAACCCATTTTCAGAATCGTTTGTATGCAAATAGAATAATTCTTAATTTTTATTACACTTTACCTCAAAGAGGTATCCTTGTTTACACACCACTGATTAAAGCAAATCGTTAAATATGTGTGAACTTTAAACTTTTTGCAGTTATCGTTATTATATGGGTCAGTTTTAAACAGAACATAGTTTCATGTTTATATATAAAAGTACAAGTAAACTGACAGCCAACAAGTAATGGAGACTATCTCGAGTTAAACCAAAAGAGTATTATAAAGTATATACATGTACACTAAATAGAAATTTTATTATAGTCTAGAATATTACAAATGATTGCAATTCTAAAAAGAAAGAAAGAAAGAAGAAGAAACCTATGTGTGCACGTTTAATACATATGTTATTCCACAGTTGTTGTGGACAATTTGCACTCTGGGAAGATAGTATATACCAATTTCGTCTTCAGTTTTGATCGTTTGCTAATTTTTATGTTTTTGTGATCTCGTCAAGTTATTTTATTTTCAGTACACTTATACGACAATGCTATCTTTTATTGGTGGGTGGGGCTTTTAACGGAAATATACCGTCAGAGGTTTCAAATACTGAAAACCTGATAAATACAAGCACACGAGATATATAATTTTGGTACATTTAGGTCCTCAGACAATTAAATTGGTTTACACTAGACACTCTGTACAAGGTCGTGGAAGTTCAACTATAACATGCAATGGCCAGCAGTAAAAGCCAGTCCACTGTCATTTAGTTAATACGGATATAAGAACATCAATTGACATTATAAGTTACCAAACGAAAAGAAATAGACTTCATGAGTTTGTCTTAATATCGAGAATACTTGCTTCAGACCCACAGTTTACCTTATAGACCACATATGGCTCAAAGTCACTAGAATTTGACAGCAACTGGGAGCCTGAACTCTTCCCATATGAGTCAAGGTTTGATCTCTAACTGTGAACGACATGTTAATGTTTCGACAACTAGAAGTGAGCAAAATGCTCAGAGTGACATCGTTGAGTATGAATGTTCCGAAAGAGGCCATTAGGGCGTGAAGAGGCATAAATGAATGTGCATGCAGATCGTATTGAGCTTACGAGTGGTGGATTTACTGCTTGACAATATACAGCTCTGACACATGGTATTGGGCCGAGTTAGATGACATTTCGAGGGCTCAAACGAATTTCGTCTTCATGCTGGATAATACCTGATATTGTACCGCTGAGGCTATGATTGAATATCTTGAAAAGAAACCACAGAGGTCAAAGGTTGAGATGTCCTAATCTAAATCGCATTAAATATGACTTGGAACCTTCTTATATGTCGTACATGTCAACATCTTTACCTAATGCGCGATTTACAATAACCTAATCTACCAACTGATCAGAAGTATGTCCAGCAGTTCCAAAGAGTTTCCCAATGACAGGGAGGCTCAGACTTGTTGCGGAGTGCTTCTGATAGCTAAATATGATTATTACAAAAAGTTTATTCAATAATACCCTCACTTAGACCATTTGAATTTCCAGGCACTCATATTACATGGATTAGAACTAACAATTAATTATTAACGAAACTGATTCATTAACTGTATTCGAAAAAAATGTATCTGCAAACCACTCTTAATTTCAGACATGCTTTTTAGTTGGTTAATGAGCAGTTTGAAATAAAAAGGTCATTTATTTTTGTAGTAGTTTTGATACACCCCATTCTTTCCATAATAACCTGGTTGCTGTGAATACTTTTCATAAATATTGTTTGTAATTACTTTATGTAAAACAAGGAAATAGTGTCATTTAGGTGTTATATATTTTTCATGTTGCATATGAAAAAAAATATATAAAAAATAAGAAACAAGATCAATAAAAATATCACAATTTCTCCAGTAATAAAAAACGTAATAGTGAAAATGACTTGTAATAACTTCGGTGACAATAAACCACCATAAATATCTTAGCGGCCAAAATCGGTCATGATATCCCTATCTAGTGACAACAGCCGTCACCACAACTTTATAGTGACAATAAATGGTCCTAACTATTTTATATTGACAAGAAATCTTCATAACAAATCTAGTAACAAAACCTATAACCACAACTTTATAGTGACAACAAAAGGTCCTAACAACTTTTTAGTAACAAGAAATCTTCATGAAAATTCTATAAAACAATCATAGCAAATCTAGTAACAAAAACTATCATCACAACTTTATAGTGACAATAAATGGTCCTAACTACTTTATAGTGACAATAAATCTTCATAACAACTCTAGTTACAAAACCTATAACCACAACTTTATAGTGACAACAAAAGGTCCTAACAACTTTTTAGTAACAAGAAATCTTCATGAAAATTCTATAAAACAGTCATAGCAAATCTAGTAACAAAAACTATCATCACAACTTTATAGTGACAATAAATGGTCCTAACTACTTTATGGTGACAAGAAATCTTCATAACAACTCTAGTAACAAAAACTATCACCACAACTTTATAGTGACAACAAAAGGTCCTAACAACTTTTTAGTGACAAGAAATCTTCATACAAATCCTAGAAAACAGTCATGACAATTCTAGTAAAAACAAACCGTTATGATAACTCTATAATTAAAACAAACCGCTCTAAGAAATCTCTTTATGAACTTTAGAAACAACAAACTGTCATGTCAACTCTATAATGACAACAAACAGTTATGATAACTCTATAAGAACAACAAACCACCATAACAACTTTAGTAACAAGAAACCATTATGATAACTCTATAGTGACAACGAACCGTTCTACTTCATGATGATAAGAAACCTTCATAGCAAATCTAAAAATAATACATCATCAGAACAACTTTAATGACAACAATTATTCAGACCAGCTCTTGTGAAAAGAAAAAGGCGTAATTGCTAGAAGTGACAATAAGCCGTTATTACAGCTATGATGCATAACAACAAACGGCCATAACAACTCTATAATGAACAAACCACCATGGCAACTTCATAGTAATAACAAACCATTCTAACAACTTCATAGTAATAACAAACCATTCTAACAACTTCATAGTAATAATAAACCGTCCTATCAACTTTATAGTAATAACAAACCATTCTAACAACTCTATAGTAATAAGAAACTGTTCTAACAACCTTACAGTAATAATAAACCGTTCTAACAACTCTATAGTAATAGCAAACCAGTGTAACAACTTCATAGTAATAACAAACCGTCCTATCAACTTTATAGTAATAACAAACCACCATAACAACTTTATAATGAACAAACCACCATGGCAACTTCATAGTAATAACAAACCATTCTAACAACTTCATAGTAATAATAAACCATTCTAACAACTCTATAGTAATAAGAAACTGTTCTAACAACTCTATAGTAATAATAAACCGTTCTAACAACTCTATAGTAATAGCAAACCAGTGTAACAACTTCATAGTAATAACAAACCGTCCTATCAACTTTATAGTATTAACAAACTGTCCTAACAACTCTATAGTAATAAGAAACTGTTCTAACAACCTTACAGTAATAACAAACCGTTTTAACAACCTTACAGTAATAATAAACCGTTCTAACAACCTTACAGTAATAATAAACCGTTCTAACAAATCTATAGTAATAAGAAACTGTCCTAACAACTTTATAGTAATAACAAACCACCCTAACAAGTTTATAGTAATAACAAACCATCCTATCAACTCTATAGTAATAACAAACTGTCCTATCAACTTTATAGTGATAACAAACCGGTCTATCAACTTTATAGTGATAACAAACCCGTCTAACAACTTCATAGTAATAACAAACTTACAGTAATGATAAACCGTTCTAACAACTCTATAGTAATATCAAACCAGTGTAACAGCTTCATAGTAATAACAAACCGTCTTATCAACTCTCTAGTAATAAAAAACCGTTCTAACAACCTTACAGTAATAAAAACAGTTCTAACAACTCTATAGTAATAACAAACCGGTGTAACAACTTTATAATGATAACAAATCGGTCTAGCAACTTTATAGTAATAACAAACCGTCTTATCAACTCTCTAGTAATAAAAAATCGTTCTAACAAACTTACAGTAATAAAAACAGTTCTAACAACTCTATAGTAATAACAAACCGGTGTAACAACTTTATAGTGATAACAAATCGGTCTAGCAACTTTATAGTAATAACAACCGGTCCTAACAACCTTACAGTAATAATGAACCGCCATAAGAACTCAAAGGAGAAAAAGACCTCATAACAATCCTTGAGGTAAAATATAAGAGATAAAAGATGATAACATTTCTAGTGGCAACAAACAGTCATTAAAGCTCAGAATAGATACCATATTAGGTGTGGCCAAAACAAGCCATTAAATAAACTGTAATAATAATAAACATCATAACAGGTATGGTCATAACGAGCCATTGTGTCATCTCTATTAATAATAAACATCATATCAGGTATGGTCATAACGAGCCATTGTATCATCTCTATTAATAATAAACATCATATCAAGTATGGTCATAACGAGCCCTTGTATCATCTCTAGTAATAATAAACATCATATCAGGTATGGTCATAAAGAGCCATTGTGTCATCTCTATTAATAATAAACATCATATCAGGTATGGTCATAACAAGCCATCGTGTCATCTCTAATAATAATTAAAATCATATCAGATATGGGGTCATAACGAACCATTGTATCACCTCTATATAACAAGCGTCATATCAGGCGATAACAAGCCATTATATCAACTCTAGTAATAATTAACATCATATCAGGTATGGTCATAAAGAGCCATTACATCAACTCTGGTTATTATAAATGTTGTATCAGGTTAAAACAAGCCATTATATCAACTCTAGTCATAACAAGCGTCATATCAGGCGGTAACAAGTCATTATATCAATTCTAGCAGCAACAAATCGTCATGTATCAACCATGTGGAGAGATTCTCCACAGAGAAGTACAGGCTACTTACCG